GATGTTGCACATGTGTCTTAACTTTCATAATGTTGCGATATCCAAAGAGTATTGGCTGTCATGTGTCAGAACTTCCCTCTAACACAAAGCAGGTGTCTCACAATAGTCTCAAAGAACTGCACTCTACAAAATGTCTTCTTTATCCAGACTTTCATTGAAACTCTCAAAACAGATCATCTATAAGACATACCAGTGTATTATAAAAGCAATATAAAATATAGATGAAATGTGCTATAAAGGAGAAGACATGCCAGAAATATTACGGGATAATCGTTATCTGCAACTGGAATTGGGAGGCAGAGAGAGAGAGAGAGAGAGAGAGAGAGAGAGAGAGAGAGAGAGAGAGAGAGGAGAGAGAGAGAGAGAGAGAGAGAGAGAGAGAGAGAGAGAGACAGAGAGAGAGGGGGGGGGATGGGTTCCAGAGGATATGTTGAAAGCAGTATATCCCTGTGTGTAGTAACACAAAGGTTGCCCACTAAGCTATACCATCACCTAACTCCTCTCCAGCACGTTCTGAGCACAATGAAACAGGTCCACATACTCGTGCTAAATAGCCCGAAATTGGCTCTGCTAAACGTTAGAGTGTACAAACTCATAAGATTAATCCCCTCTCACCCACTCCCATGATTCCTGTAATCTCAAAGTAAAAACGAAAATGCAACTTTTGACTAAACACTCGCCCCGTATCTTGATAACAACCTGTGATATATCGGCGATATACATGTGACCAGTTTCGAGGGAGTTTTGTAACCTGTCAAGCCCGACACGGAGCCAGGCTTATCTGTTGATAACGTGTTCATTACGTTTGAGCCCGGCCGAAGGCCGCGTTCTGGGAATAGAAAAACTCGTAACTCATCAAAGGTATATTAAAAGTAAGGTAAGCTGTTGAGCTTGGTACCCTGACGGCGTGCATATAAAGCACAGCCTGACTGCTCTGGCACTTGGCGGACACTTGTATTAAGTTATTTGACGTCCAAGATATAAGGGGTGATGCAAATAAGATGGGACAACCTTAACCACCATCCAACCACGACAGGTTTCAGGTATTCTAGTGTTAAGCCATGATGAGGCCAAGCGTCAGTGCTGACTGCCTGGTCAACTAAGTTATTGTTGCTAGTGGCCAGCAGGCCTACATTAGCATGGATTGTGAAGATGACAATATCAGGGACTCGTGTTTACTTTCAAGGGCACACACAGAAAATAAACTGTACTTGATTATCTTCATTCAAATTTTGTGCGTATCACCATTTGCAACCCTTGCGGGATTTAAATTTGAATAAAACACGATGTTTGAGGATCACTTCAATAATAAACACACATTTCCAGAATTACGTGGCGTGAGAGATGCGACAAAGTGTAGAATAAACTTAGTGAAGAGTAGAAGTACCCAAGGCACAATAAGAGAACGCTGTGATATTAGTCTACCAGCATACATACGAAATATTGGCGGACAATGTTAATCAAAAGAAAACGGGAACATTTTCCACGGGATATTTCAGATCAGCAATGCAGAGATCCGACAGCACCAGCGTGACTGACCAGGCAACCAATAACGAAGGCTTGCCTCAGGCTGGGCTTCGTGAACAGAACTCTTGAAACCTGTCACAACTGTGTTGTAGGCAAAATTATGTCTAGGGTTATTTTTGCATGTTTCGATTTACTACGACGAGGTTAATGACGAAGGCAAATTGCAAAGAAAGACTTTAGCTACTCAGCTTAACAACCGTAGAATGTTCCCTACAGACTAATGAGAATTTTTTTTAAAGTATGTTATATAAATCTATAAAAAACGAATATTTAAATATCAAAATAGAGGGGAACATCTGGGCTAGCCCAGGCAATGTTCAAATCCTCTCGCATAATATAAGGTTAGGGTGCATCATGACACAAAAAAACAGCGACAGGCTGTTTCGAGATGCTAGGAAATAATGTCAGCGTTAGGATATCAAGTGCAATGAACTAAAGGAAGAGATGGTGGCAGCAAGCACCATGTACAGTTTCAACAATCGGACCCAGAAGGTACGTAATAAATTAAGAGGCAGGGCGTAACACTATGCCTTGACCCGTGCAAATGCAGTAAGCGAGTACACCCATCACCCTCGCGTCATTATCGTCACAGTTTGCCCCTCCCTCTCTACAAACGAAGACGGAACATCTTAGTGGTTGAGGATTTTCTAAAGAACGAAAAGAAACACTCGTAAGGAAAATGGAGAACATCAAGCTCAAACTAAATGCATCATACAAGGTTCAGGAAAGGGGGAGGGAAGAAAAAGCTATAATGAAATTAAGAAACACGAAATACTATTTCTCACTTGCAAAAACCAGGGCAAAAACCACATCCAGTACCAGGCCCTTACTTAGAAATGGAACCTACACTTATGACAAGAAAACAGAAAAGAGCGAAATGTTGAAGTTGCAATATGATTGTTCGGCGAGTCATTAATCAGTCTTAAAGACCGACAACACAAACGAGTTTTTCACAGATTAGACTCAAAACCCTGCCGACACCTGTTCAGGGCAGATGTTTGAGATGGACCAGATACAAAGGTCATTTACAGCTCTCATAGAGCCAATAAAGCATATAAATTATTGAGAACGCCTTAAAGTCCTAAATGTGTGTTCACTGGAGCTGAGGAGAGAGAGAGAGAAATGATAATACACACCTGGAAAGTACTTGAGGGCCTTCTTCCAAATCTGCACACTACCTTAACAACGTACTGGAGCTAGGGATTATGTGCAAAATAAACCCAGTGAACAGCAGGAGCGCCGTGGGAACAGTCAAAGAACATTGTATCAACATTCGTAGCCCAAGACTATTCAAAATCTTACCAGAAGATACCAGAAACATTGCTGAGACAAGTGTAGAAGTCTTCAGAGGGAAACTGGACAAATATCTTCACTAGATACCAGATCAACCAGACTTAGATGGATATGTGGGCCAGCAGGCCGCCAGTAGGAACAGCCTGGCTGACCAGGCAAGCAACAAACGAGTCTGGTTCAAGGCCGGACTCCAGTAGAAAAACTCGAAACCCATCAAAGGTATATTAAATGGTAAAAATATTTCCATTATTACTGGCATAAGTAACCCAACTTGACTTTGAAAAAGCCATCGATTGCATTCTGCCCCAGACTCTGACTCGTGCAACTCCATATCCATCAAGTGAAAAAAAAAAACACTAACATAGCACCACTCCACAAAGGTGGCAGTAATCACAAAAAAAAGACTGACAGCGCTGACGTCCCATTATAATAAAAAATGAAGCGCTAAACCTACAAGGGTCATACAGCGCAGAGCTGACGTCCCATATCAAAAATCTTCGAGTGTCTTAAGAGGCAAGACTGATACTCCCATGGAATCTCAAGAATTGCACATCCCAGGGCAACATGGGTTTAGAGCAGGTCGTTCCTGCCTCCTGTAATTGTAGAGAAATTCAAGGCTGCCACAGCGAAAAGATCTTTTCTCCAAGGCACAGCATTGGCCCACCTTCTATTTCTCATTCTTATATCCAACATCAGCGGAGCGTTGGTATTTATGTTGGAGACCGTGCGGCTAGCACCAACAGCCTGGTTGATCAAGCCTTTCACCGGGAAGCCTGGTCCGGAACCTGGCCGAAAAGGCGTCGACACTCTTAACACTCTCCAGGCACACTCCCCTCACTACGTTTCAAGAACACCTGAGGGTTGCCTGAAGAAGATTACGGTATTACCACCCCTACGACCCCAGCCAGGTCTGGGGTTAATTTCTTAAGTCACATTAGTTTATCTTTTATGCTGTAATCAGAACCTTTATACCTTTGACTGGTCGAGTTTTTTTCTACTGCCGCAGTCCAGTCTGAAGGTATGCCATCGTGTAGTTGTGGGCAAAATCCTTAAGCCAAATCAACCTCGGCTAACTTTCCCTACCTTCCACACCCTGTGATGGGGCGAGATAATAGTAGTAGTCAACAACAACCTAGGGCGGTGTCCTCGTGGGTGTGGACAAGGGGGCCAATCAGCCGTACACATCTGTACAGTTACTTGGACCTGTAGCACCTAGTCTTGTTACTCATTATTTGAATGTTAACTCGCACAAGGAATAATTGTACAATTCTTCCCCCAAGCAGCATGCTGTTGTGGTTGGCGAGGTACTGCACAAATAAAGAAATCTTTGGAAGGTACTTGATTAACTGGGCTGTGATTGGTATATGGGCTTGAGGGCTGCATAAAGCAATAGCCGCACTGATCAGACGACGCACTATGAAAGACTGGCCGCAATCCAGGCTGCGGGAACAGCACCCCAGAAACGGGTTACAGGTATGTCCCCAAGCAGTCCCAAGCCACGTCTCAAATCGATAATTACTGCATCTGGAGTAGCCCATAGTGACCTCATGGTATAATTGTTCAGTGTAAAAGGGAACTCGTACCTGACTGTCAGCGAAATCTGCCTAACACCCACTGAACTTCACTGTACCACTACTTTACACACGGCTAAGAAATCCCTTAGGTCTCCGTGGATGAAATTATAATTAAATAAATTTGATAAGTCATACATACCTGAGATTATCCTGCGCAATGAGTAGTGGAGGCTCGATCCTCCGTCTGCTAATCAAGACCCAGTCTCTGATCAATGAGGCTTCTTCCACGGATGAGGAAACCACCAGAAGGTATCTCTCAGATGTAACTTAGACCAAGCACAATGTAAACTAACTGTAACATTACAAACTATCTGGCCACATGAGGAAAAGACATCATTAATTACAAGTATAAAACAACTATCTTTAACTGATAATATAAGCCATCACACATGACATGAAGCATGACACAGACTACAATAAAAATGTATTTCGAAAATATAGTATACAGCAACCATCCAGAGATACAACCGTCCTCTTAAATGAGTGGGAAAGGGAAACCTGTTAAATATTTTGCTCTCTGCCAGGATTGTTGATTTTGTCTGTCTCATGAATACGTAAGATGATGGGTAAATCTTATAAACTTCTGCTTACATTGTGTACACAAACCTTTACTTTTTTATGTGCTTCTTAACAGTTCTTAATCCTGTAATATTTTCTTTCCAGCGGAGGAGGCCTGGTCTAAGACCGGGCCATGGGGAGAATAATCCCCAGAACCTCATAAGCAGCAACAGCTTGGTTCTCTAGAAGTTAACAAAAAAAGTCTGACTTCAGGCGGGATGCAGGGATACAATTATTCTCGAAATTGGGCACAAACATGTCATACGCTATTCAAAATCATTCGAGAAGACCTTAAAGAGGGAATAAACAAGAACATTAATTTCACTGTAGATATAAACTCTGAAAAAAGCACCAGGAAGCTTCATGATGTGGATAAATGAATGTTATGCTTGGAGACGTAGCAGAGATAATTCAAGGTGCATCATCATCAATCTTAGGGTAGGAAAATATCAACGGCATTAATAAATTTATATATTGTCATACAGGGCTCATAGCCGGGTTACGTGGGTAGAAAAACTCTGAAAATGTCACAAGAATAAGTATGTATACTAAGGAGTGATAAGTATTGGGGGAAACCCGAAAAAGAGCACACTTGTCACCATTACTATCTTGCCAGAGGCAAGCGGATACTATAGGGTTCAGATGTCCACTGAAACTGCACTATTCATACCCCTCCTTCAGAGTACAGGTACTGTACTTTCCAGCTTCAAGACAAGTCTAGATAATCGATTTCCCTGAATTCCTTCAAAAATGATACCTTGCTCACATTCCAATAGCATGTCAGGTCTTAAAAACCACTTGCCTCCACTAACTCCTATCTAAAATGCTCACATACACCTGTCAGATGTCCAAGATCTGAGTGTGTGCGCCCCCCCCCCCTTACACACATTGTGGCCACTTCATTAAGTACACCTGCTCGTTAATGCAAATATCTAATCAGCCAATTATGTGGCAGCACCTTGATGTTTAAAAACACGCAGAAATGATTAAGAGGTTCAGATGCTTCTCAGATCAAACATCAGAATGGGAAAGAAATGCGATCTAAGTGACTTGACCGTGGAATAGTTGTTGGTGCCATACGGGTTGGTGCGAGTGCCTACACCAAACACTATCGCTAGTACCAGTAACCTAAATGATCAGGCCGTCAACCAGGAGGCTTCAACCAACGGTAGACTGACAGAGCAGTGACAGAGGGGGAGGAGATATTTAAGACAAAATACTTGGAAAAAAAAAAAAAAAGTAAAAAAAAAAAAAAAAAAAAAAAAGAGGGGGGGAGTCAAAAACACGAACAATAGGGTGACAAGATTAAAGAACAAAGACCAGCTAGAGGTGAGATAAAGATTGAAAAAAAAAAAATTCTATGCAGAGATAAAATGGAAAGAACAAATACAGGACATAACGAATAATAGAAAAGAAGAAACACATCTAACAGAGGAAACTTTTCAGGTATCTCGACATTTTCTTGATCGATCAGGCCGTGGTACCTAATTACGGACTGCTAGCTGTGAGTACAAATGTCTTGACTGATCAGGCCGTGACCCCGTAGTTTTGGTCAGAGACCGGACTGAGGCAGCGATAATTACAGAAACCATCACCAGGTAGAGGGAGGAGAGTAAATTTAGAAAAAAAAAATTAGGTTGTGACAAAACGTGGTGGAGGGTGAGGGGAGGGGGAAGAGAGCGAGTAGAGATGAGTAGTTACAGAGAAATTTGGTAGGTGCAAAACAAACCTAATAAAAAGTAGGGGTGGCACGAATACTCTAAGAGATAACATAGAAAGTGAAAGAAGGACAAGACTCCCACCATACAAAAGGGGCGATTACCAACAGACTCTTTGCAGTCTTCAAGAGGGGACTTGACACGTTACTCACGTCTGTTCCTGATCAGCCGAGCTGTGGCTTATACGCTGGTCTGTGAGGCCAGGATTAACCTGACTGATCAGACTTTGATACACCAGGAAGCCTGGGACCAGGTCGCAGGGAGCTTGGCTCCCAGGTAGGACAAAAAGAGAAAGTACAGAAAAAGACAAGAATATTGAAACAGCCATGAAATGCTAAAGACGGCGAGATAAGGTAACGAAAAGAGAAAACATGAACAATTATTGCTATTCCATTCATGGGGGAGCGCTAAACCCATAGAGGTTACAGAGCGCCTGGGGAAAGGAAGGCATTCCCGTTCGACGCACAAAAGGGAAGGGCAAGTACAATTCCTCTGGACAAGAGGTTCCCACTGGCGTCAAGGAACTTCCCGTGTGTGGGGGGAAGGGGCAGGGATAAATCGAGAAAAGGGGGGAATAGGACAAATAAAACATGAGAAAGGATGGGGATAGGGTCAAATAAAATGAACAGTAAACGGGGGGAGGGGAGTAGAGAACTAAAACACGAGAAAGGTAAGGAAATAGAGAAAATGAAAACGAGAGAAAGATAAGGGGAAAGAAAACAAGAAAAAAGACAGGGTTATTTGAGGAGGAATGTTAAAATAGGGACACAGAAACACAGGAAAGGACAGAGGGACAAAGAAATCTAGGAAAAGAACAAGCGGATGGGGACAAAGAAACGACAGGAAAGGGACAGAAAACGAGGGGAAAGGGACAGAAAACGGGGGGATAGGGGCAGAGAAAACTGACAACGAAGGGAGGATTGGTATGCGGACAACACCCATTGTGCCTCCATGTTATTGGTGATTCTTCCCTCCACCCCCGTATCCTATCCACCCACTAGGCAACCCGGGATTATGGACAACTATACTCTAAATTAATACGTTTTGTCATGCAGGGAGTCGAGGGAGAGATGAACATTCTGATGCAGGAACATCATTACATCACAGTACAATAATGAGAGTTAAGGTACGGCGCACAAAATTTTAGTCTATACCAAATCATTACTTTTTCCTGTGCATCTATTGCGTAAAGACTAATTTTAAACAATTAAGAAAGTTAAAATTTACATTCAGCTGTACTTGTGGGTATAATAATAATAATAATAATAATAATAATAATAATAATAATAATATAGGTACAGACAAAGGAATAGATGCAAGTCGAACAGTTCAAGGATATCATCCCAACTAACGTAGTTTGGCTGCGTTATGTCAACGACATCCTCATCATCCCATCCAGAAGATTCACTTAACATTTACACCTCCCAGAGAAGGATCAACGCTGGGGATTGTTTAAAGTTCCTGGCGGACGTAAAGTCCTCTAAAAAAAAAAAATCCCTAACTCGCACGCTATGTCTGTACATTCCATTCCAGTTGCAGACTGTACCTGTTAGCACCCCTATAGCTCTCACAGCCAGCCATCACATTAGCTGATCTGGTTTACACAGCTGTACATTAATATAATTGCAATAAACACACTGCTATATACATTCCTTAGCGGTAAATTATGTAGAATTAACGTAGGATAATCTGAGTCATCCTATGATTAAGAACCGCGTCTAGCGATTTTCCCTAGCAAATAAATTAATATAACCCTCAGACATAGACAGTTATGTAAACCACAGCACTGTATCATCTTTTGCAGACGATACTAGGATCTGCATGAGTGTGTATCCATTGAGTATACGGCAAAGCTTCAGGAAGATATAAACCAAGTTTTCCAATGGGCAAAAGAGAACAATATGATGTTCAATGAAGACAAATTCCAACTACTCCGTTATGGAAAACTGGAGGAAATAATAACTAGGACTGAGTATACTACAAACTCCAATCACACAATAGAGCTGAAAAGTAATGTGAAGGACCTGGGTGTGGTAATGTCCGAAGACCTCACCTTCAAGGACCACAACAATGCCACTATCACATCTGCTAGGAAACTGATAGGATGGATAATGAGAACATTCAAGACAAGAGATGCTAAGTCAATGATGATCTTTTTTAAATCACTTATTCTTTCTAGGCTGGAATACTGCTGTACATTAACATCCCCATTCAAGGCAGGTGAAATTGCAGAGCTAGAGAATGTACGGAGAACCTTTACTGCACGTATAAGTTCCATCAAACACCTTAACTACTGGGAGCGCCTGAAAGCACTTGACTTGTACTCACTAGAGCGCAGGCGAGAGATATATATCATAATCTACACCTGGAAATTCTGGAGGAACTGGTCCCTAATATGCAAACAGCAATCACTCCATACGAAAGCAAAAGACTTGGCAGGCGATGCAACATACCCCTAGTGAAAAGTAGGGGCGTCACTAGTACACTAAGAGAAAACACAATAAGTGTCCGGGGCCCAAGACTGTTCAACAGCCTCCCACCAGCAATAAGGGGCATTACGGGAAAATCCCTGGTTGTCTTCAAGAAGGAGCTGGACAAATACCTAAAGACGGTGCCGGATCAGCCGGGCTGTGGTTCGTACGTTGGATTACGTGCGCCAGCAGTAACAGCCTCGTTGATCAGGCCCTGATCCACCGGGAGGCCTGGTCGTGGACCGGGCCGAGGGGGCGTTGATCCCCGGAATGCCCTCCAGGTAGACTCCAGGTAGGGCGAGTTGTGTACTTTTAACCATGAGGAAACCCTACTAGCTGTCCTTGCAATCAAACAGCTTCCACGCCTTGGTTCTCTCACACCGGAAACACGCTACCAACAACCTACACAGACAATGGTCATCCCTATATAACATTACCATCATTATCTCAGTGGGACAGGACACCAGGTGTACCAGCTGCCTAGGTATAGCATACTCATAGATGAACTTATCGCACAGCGTCTTACATTAACAAATTGGGGGCCTGTCACTAGACATTATGTGCCTCCGTAATAAGACTATCAACTAAGTATAATGGCCACACGCGCCCCAATACAACAGCTACGATTTTGGAATGCAATGTGTCACCACTATTGCAATATGACGTCTTCGTTATCATTATCTCTCGACTTATATATTAACGCTAATAGAAGTTTGTCAAATATGTTACCTATATTAAGTACCAGAGTATACTTCAGTTTCACATAAAGGTAGGTAGGTAATGGTACAAGATGGTTAATGGTACAAGCGGTATGGAATTTCATTGTCGACGTTTCATCCACTAAGTGGTCTACATATAAAGCCTCAGATGTATTTGTCCCTCTTTACCACAATATCACAACAAGATCCAGAAACTATTTCCGCTATATCTTTGCAGAACACTTATTACTATCACGTGCGGTGACTTATAGCTCAGTCATGGAGGGCTCGGCTC